TTGACCACATATGTGATCTATGAACAGGGGGAAACTGCGACACAACGTTCATTGCAAGTTAACAGAAGAGTTTTTGTTTGGCAACCAGATGGGAGGGGATGCAAGCGCCATAGCTGATACTGCTTTTAAAGAGTTTAAAAAAAAATTATGAAAAATAATGGTTTTCTAAATGAAAAGCAGATTTTGCAACAGGGTCATTGGGGAGGAGCTTCCCACTTAAACTCTGATGCCCATCAGTACAATGTGGATTTTCCAATTCTGATGCCCATCAGTATGACATGGATTTGCATCACTTTCCATCCCTGCCCTTTCTCTTCAAGTATTTTTGAGTTCTAATTTTTAACCTTTTTCCTCTAGAAAGAAAGTAATGCCCTAAATATTTTCTACACAGGCCAATATACAGATTCTACTCTGTTAAAAAATGCTGATGTCATTTACCACACTAGGAAATACTAATAATACCACTACAACTCTACTATTTCTCATTTGTATAAGATCAAACAGATAAGAAAAAAAAAAAAAGAAACTTTAAGCAACTATGGTCTAATTTAAAACACATGGCAGGAAATTAATTTATTCATAAAGCAACATCTGAACACGTCCACTGTCCCATTAAACAGCAGGACGTTTGCCTTTTAAAAATAAAGTAGCATAAATTTCTTTTCCACTTTAACAGACTGTTAAATTGGGAATGCAAGCACTTTAAGTTAACAAGAGAAAGGTCAGATACATGACGTGAATAGTTCTGATGGAGAACCCTAAGCACAGGAAATAGACGTTAAGTTTGGATCTTCTTCATTCCCTTCTTTACTCTTCAGTACACTCCCTAATTTGTTCTTTGGCTGATACATCCAATGGAGCACTGGAAATTTAATTCTTATAAGGGTATTACAAAAATCGAATTTGAGTCAGGGTGATCAAAGACATTCAACCAGTATTTTGGACCATCACAAGAGTATCCAACTGACCCAGAGCAAGGCTGCAGTCAGAGAGAGGAGGACACAGGACTCCAGACTTTGCTGTTGTATTTCAAGAAAGTGTTAGGCACTTTTTCTTGCCCTGGTCCTTCCCATTACCACTCTTCAACAGGCCATATTGTGTAGCATGCACACTAATGCAACACAGACCTATGATTCTTTCATCTTTCTACAGGACTGAAATGGCCAAATAAAGCAATACAGACTGAGGGAAGCCAACTGCTGATTATATGGAATTTAAAACCAAGCAGAGGATTTAAAATAAACTAATTTTAAAGCAGTCAGAAATAAAGTAACAAAGAATAAATCAAGCATTAAAAAAAGAAACAGCATAATCCTCTGATATGCAGAGAATTTGCAGTACCAGAACTGAGCCTTGCTCTTTTACCTATGCAACTTCTTTCTCTTCCTCAGACCTTACACAGTTCCCTGTACCACCTCAGAGCTTTCAAAGCCTCGTAAGGATCCATTTTCCACATATTTTCCAGCTACCTGGCATTTATGTTGAACAGAAAAAGTAAGCAACCCAAGCAATCAAAAATAGCCAAGATAAAAACCACATGGTTACAAAACTCAAGCGCAATCATTTTTTTTCACGTTGGAAGCAAACAAGAATGTGCTTCTGTCTGTACCCATCTCCACACTCATTCTGTCCACGTATTGAGTTAATTTAGCATAAATATATACCTTACAATATAGACCTTATAGCAGCCTTCCAGTACCTGAAGGGGGCCTATAGGAAAGCTGGGGAGGGACTTTTTACAAGGGCATGTAGCGATAGGACAAGGGGGAATGGCTTCAAACTGGAAGAGGGTAGATTTAGAATAGGTACGAGGAAGAAATTTTTCACTCTGAGGGTGGTGAGACACGGGAACAAATTGCCCAGGGAAGTTGGGGAGGCCCCATCCCTGGAAGTGTTCAAGGCCAGGCTGGATGGGGCTTTGAGCAACCTGATCTAGTAGGAGGTGTTTCTTTCCATAGCAGGGGTGTTGGAACTAGATGATCTTTAAGGTCCCTACCAAACCAAACCTTTCTATGATTCTATGAAATCGGATCCGCCTGAGAAGCTTTATGTCCACAAGCAATGCTAACGCTAGGCCTGTGACTTACTCTCAACTTCCCATAGTTAGGAAAAAATGCAGCAGATGAGAACTTAATGATGTACATATATGCACATTAATAACTGTATAGTGCATTTGAGAACATAGAGTTTGTCCTGCTCTGTGACACACACAGGACCAGCTTGTCACGAATGACTACTCCTTAACACTGAGAGAAGCTAACTATACAATGGAGAAAAACGGGGCATGATTTCCCAACTCCTGGTAATTAAAGATGGGATTTTTCAGTCAAAAAGGTGCCATACTTCTCCTGAAGTCTAAGAAAAACGCAGAATTGTTTCACTAGCGAAATGTTTTTGAGAACTGAAGTCATATTCTCCCAGTATTTAAAAATTTTGAAACACCTACTGTAGCTAATTACAGAAAGGAAATACCTATATGAAGTACAAAAGTATGTTCACCTCTGGACATAATGAAAAAAAATGCTCTATCTTCCCTGTACTTGTGAATTAAAATAGATACAAACTAAGATCCTTTTTACAATTATCATCTGACCCTTCAAAATGCCTACACTTTTTATCTTACCTCCTATGTTATAAAAGGACATTTTCCAAAATTTTTTAATCTCAAATTTGAATCAGAATTGTAGAAATCCATAAAAATCTGAGAAGCCTGTGCAGAGATGATGAGTATTGGTGTGCTTTCATTACTTATCAGAATCCATATCTGACCAGAATTGTAATTAATTTCTTGTTCAACATAAAGTAAACAGCATCACATCTCATGGACAATCTTTATAACTCATTACATTTCACCCACTGACCACAAAATACACTTATTTTACAACAATATCCAATACAAAAATGACAAGAAAAAGAAGTAAAACAGACTGAAGTAGAAAACAAAATGCAGACTAAAGAATCAAATACAATTTTCCAGTTTCTTCACACCAAAAAAATGATTACTTACATCCTAAAGAACAGAACACTAACCTCCTGGCGAAAATTATTTGCTGTCCTCTCTAGATGATCCATTTTCCTTTTTGATTTTATTGTGCTGCAACAAAAAGCAAAGAAAGATAACTGTCATTGTCAACTGTAGCTGTGCTACTGTCCCTTACTGATAGGAATTTCTAGTAACATCACAATTTACCAGTGTAATCTAGACTACAGATAACGTAAGTCTAAATAGGAATTAAATACAAATATATATAATCGGGAGTTAAATAAGTATTTATACGTATGTAATAATTTGCCAGCTTCATTTTGACAGTGTTACCATGACACTCTTTTTTGGAAAAAAAAAAAAAAAGAAAAAAAAAAGTATGTGGATAACCTACCCATTCACTGTGCAATAACAAAAAGCAGAGTGCCTCAACACCACCAATGCTGAATGAGTGGGAAAAATTCTGGCAGCACCTCTCAGTAATTGAGGAACAGTAAACCCCACATAAATAGTAGCATGAGCCATGATGACTAGGCCGTCTTCAGAATTACCAGCTCCTGAAAAATCCATATAAATATTTGTTAAATAAAATATCCACTGTTTGATAAGGCTTGTTTTCACCCTTTATTTCTATTAAATCAGAAAGGCCAAAGCTCAGCTAGAGCTAAAACTAGCAATAGATATATAAGGTAACAATAAGGAATTTTAAAAGTACGAAAATATAAAGAAGTAAAAATGTGCAGCCATTGATTGAAGGGGAAGACAACCTCATCACAGATGATATGGAAAAGACTAAAGTAGTCAACAATTTTTTTGCCTCGGTCTCCACAGACAAAGCCTGCACCCAGACCTCTGCTTGTACCAGCAGCATTTGGGAAGGAGAGGGATAAGTAGGAGTGAGGCCAGCAACTTCTCAGAGAAGCTGGATGAATTCAAACGCACACAGCCAGATGGGTTACGCTCAAGGTTGCTAAGAGACACAGCTGACATGCTTGTGAGGCAACTGTCTATTACCTACAAAAAACAGTTATCAGAGAAAGTCTCCAATTAACTAGGAAAATAATAATGCATGGTCATTTTTAAGAGAGGCAAGAAGCAGTGCCTATGTCCAGTCAGCACCACCTCAGTCTCTGGAAAATTGCTCAGAGCTTGTCCCTTTAGCTGTGTGAAAGCTAAGAGAGTAATCAGGGAGATTCAACACAGATTTACCAAGGCCAAATTACGTTTGACAAATTTGAACACCTGCTGTGATGAAATGCTGGTGACGCAGCAAAGGGGACAGCAGTGGATACAATCTATGATTCTTTGAATATACCTTGACTTTCCTGTGGCTCTTTTCACATCATCTCTCATAGCATACACATTAGGAAGCTGAGGCCAGATGGACTACTGGAGTGGCTGAAAATTGGTGGGTGGGCAGAGAGACTTGAAGGCTTGATGGCTTCAAGGTGCTTCAGTTGCTGGCTAGTAACAGTAAGAGTATGCTGGGCTTGATATCAGGGCTGATGCTGTTCAGTAACTTTATCGCTAACTTGGATGAAGAGACAGAATGTACCATACTAAATTAGAGGGATGGCTGACGTGCTGAATGACAGGGCCTCACTTCAAAGGGACACTGAGAAACTGCAGGAGGGGAAACAGAAACCTCATGAACTTAAAGAAGTACAAAGGTGTGCACCTGGGGCTGGCCTAGTCCAGTGCTCGCAACCATTCTGCTCCAAGCAGGAGCTTTGACTAGACGACCCTCAGAAGTCCCTTTCACATATCACATATCTGTGATTCTCAATGCTCAAACAATAATTTTGTTTGAAAGAAGATCAGACAAATGCTGAACATGCATGCCCTATCTATTGGTAAAGAAAGCGTTCTGGTTGGAAAATTTTATAAACATTAAATAAAACTGTTTATTTACAGGTTTATTTAAAAACATGTAAATCCCTCATACTTCCATATATCCTATAATACCTGTATCTCTAAACAGTTAAGCAATAGCAGACACATGCACTACAGTGGAAACATGGTGAGAAGCTTCAAAACTGCATACGCAAACAGAGCTATGACAGATAAAGATAAACTGACATGTACATTATTCAAAATAAGGCAGAAATATCCTTCACTTACAAAGCGCAGGAATAGGTTCATAGTTAGTGAAGAGGTATTTCTCGTTGCTTGTAAACTTGCCTTTGTTTTTCCTAAAATGGATTAGCATAATTCTCTATCATATTATCATCACCTATCAAATTCTATTATTTCTACGATGCAGTCCATTGCTTCTTTAAAGCATTCTTAGTCTTTTACTTCCATTTAAATCTCTTTTCCTGCATTCTTTTAAAGCATGTAATTTATTTTCAAAATGTTTTTGTTTTTCATTTTGAATCCTTTGAAATGGCAACAATCCAGCTTGTTTAACTAATCAGGCCTATACTCTTTAGGCTTTCACTAACAGCTGCGTTGGCTGGTCACTTAGCAATTTGTCCTGTTTGTAATCTTGTACAAATGGAAGGCAGAGCTTTCATAAATTGGGCTGCCCAGAAATTGAAGACATTTACTGTAACTACTCAAAATGCCCACTTTCAAGCATAAGAAATACTTCCTGCAGCTTTTAACTGTCCATAATTTTTAATAGCTGTTTAGCATTTAATTCCACAGCAGCTTACAACTTTTCAAAGTGGAATTATTTAAAACTCATCTACCACCAGTGAGCAAAATTAACAATTTTTGTCATAGCATATACAGTACTGTATTTAAACAAAATACTTCAGCACTTTGTCCATGCAAATGTGTAGAAGCTATTGATAACAAAAATATTAACATTCTTAAATTATTTTAGCAAGACAAAGTACACATCTAATGAAGAAGTCACGCTCCTCTACATCACCATGTTCAGTGCTGAGTGCTTACAAATCATTGAGTTACTCAAATTCACGAGTTCATTTTATAATCTGGAGTCTTTTAGATAGCAGATCTTGGTTATACCCATCTACATCTCCTTTCTTTTAGGCTTCCAAGTTTTTTGATTCATGTTTTCAAGCTTTGCACTCTAACATGTTAACTAATTCAAAGTAAAAATGAAGGATGTTTGAAAGTAGACATTCTTATGTAAGCTGTTTATCCCAATAGCTGTGACTAATTAAATCACCACAACATCACAATGAACCACATAAAGTCCGATGCTTTGCCTCAGAGGCCAAGGACTGAGAAGAAAGATTTAATTATTCTTCTTTCATATGTTTTAAAAATCACCTCACATCTTTCAAAACCCTTTCCATAATTAATTGCTACTAAACACAGCGACATCTGCTGGTAAATTAAGTGGCCTAACTTTAAAATCCAATACAAAGATTCTGGATTGTTTATTTTATGTATTTAGTTTAATTCTGCTGCTAGGGTTGACAGTCACTTAAAACCAGCCTCATTCTCATTTTCACTGCTACCACTTTAGAAAGCAAACGTGTTCAGTTGTACACATGAAAATTAAAATAAACAAACAAAAAGAGTTCAGTATCAACATACAACACTGAAAACAAAATAAATGTCAGCCTTATTTTACGGTAGCAGCTACAACTTTGAAGTCAGAGCTGAAAGATCCTATTGATACAATTTTAAGACTGAGACTCTACCCTAGATTAAAAATAACTCTTGAACGGTAGTTCAATACACTTGTTCCATTTACATTATCATCAATCACTTTCCAATCCTGAAAAAGCACAATAAAACCAATTGTAATTTTTACTCTGTAACTAATAAAGTCCAAAATTTCTTTTAATGAGTCCTGGTTCTCCTCTACTATATATAAGTCTGAGTCATGCTTTTACAAAACATGAACAGCCTCTCCCCCATCTGTCAGCTGGGCAACCTTCTTGACTCATCTGGCTCCTTGGCAATTCCCTGTCCTCCAAGAAGTGCAGTGCTTTAGCCTCCCAAGCTCCTGTCTGATGGGATGTTCTGCCTTTATTTTTTCTTGTCTTCTTACCCAAGCCCTTACAGAAATAGCCACTCCAAATACTCCCAGTGTTCCTTTGCTCCGCTGACAGAATTGAGCGTTTCTTTTGTATAGAACTCCTTCCTCTCCTCACTTAAAATTAAAATCAAGCAATGAATTCATTCTCCTTACCCTCTGACCCACTGGCCCTGGGTTAATATCGCTTGAGATCTATGACCACATCTCTTCTTTTCCTCAGTCCTACACCAGTATCTGAAGGGAGAAAGTTACTTTTAGTTAACCTCCACCACACCGAAAAGCAACCTATGACATACGTTAACGCAAGCGAGCGTTGAGGGGCAAGCAAGGACACTGAAGCAAGCAGGACAGGAAATCATTTTACCAAAACCAAGCTTATACATCGGTAAGAGACACCCCTCCAGGCAAACTGTCCCTCCTGTAAAAATCACCACCCAAAAAAAGCTTTCCGCCCTGACATAGCATTAAGGAGCACACACAGGGGTGGGGGCACTGGAGAAACCTGCGCTCGGCTGAAGCGGGGTAGCACGAAGGAAGCTGGAGGGCCGCCCTCTTGCCTCCGGGCAGGCGGGGAAGGACAAGGTCGCGGCGGCACGCCGCCGTCCC